TTATATATATATATATTGATTAAGCTCGTTGATAAAGCTCGTGAATATTTATATAAAATTTCTTCCTACAGGTTCGATCTTATAACGATTTATTGTTATTGGATTAGCGAATGTTTGCATATATATATATATATATATATATGTGTGTGTGTGTGTGTGTGTGTGTATGTGTGTATTTGTAAAAAAAATAAAAAAAAAAAAGAAAAGAAAAGAAAGAAAAAAAGGGGAGGGGAGGAAAAACCAAGAAAAAAAATGTTGTACTCGTAAAAAGTTCGACGACTTTTAAATAACATTTTGATCGATCAAATTCGACTTGATCTCGGTTACATTTAACAAATCCTGCAACTCTTTCAATTCCGAAACGGATAGGATCGATTCGAGTTCGGGTGATATAGCGTCCTTCAAACTCAAAGACGCTAAATCGACGGTGTCAATGTTACCGTCGTTCTTCAACAGTTGCTTCAACTTTTTAATGTAATTCTTTAAACCCGTTTGAACGGCCAAACCAACTTTCGAATCGGCACGTGACAATCTACGAGGTATCGGCCTTTCCTTTTCCAATGTCATTTCGTCACGACAATTAATGTTCGAGGATTTTTGAGTACGCGAATCGTTCTTATCCAATATCAAAGTGTCTCTTGATACGACGGCCGATCGAGGAGACGTATCCATCTTGATTAATGATTTATTTCCATTCGTGAACATCTCATGAGTTTTCTCGAAATTTTTCATCTCGGTGATCACTTTCTTCGGTGTATTCTTTTTCCTAATCGAAATATTCAAATCCATTTTATTGGCCATCGATATCTCGTTGTTATTTTTACGAGGAGTAAAAATCGATTGAACGTTTGTTATGTTCTTCGTCGATTCGTTTTCGTCATAGATCGAATTAACGAAACGTTCGCGCAAAACTTTCGTAGTCGTTCGACACTCGCCAATCGTTTTTTCGAAAGATCCATCGCACTTTGAATTCGCCGAACATTCTTCATAATTCTTGAAAATTTCTTTATTAGCGTTAATCGAATTAATTAAATTGGAATTATTGTCCGTCATATTCTTTGACTCCTGACGTGATCTACGATTATCACGTTTCTCATGTTGAAAGTTTAGAGAACTTATGCCAACGACATTCTCACAGAGAGAACCCCTTGATTTTCCATCGTCATTTTCAAAGGTACCGTGAAACTTTGGTATCAAAAATCTCGAGGAAATGCTCGTCGATGGTTCAAAGTTCTTCGACGAGATCATCGGTCTTATCGAATTGAACGAAGAAATCTCATTTTCCTTCGAATTCGATCGTAACGATTCTATACCTTTAAGGCAATCGTAATTCTTTATGGCATTTAAACCGTCAATACGTTCGCTCTTCGTACGATCCTCGATCGTTTTCCCTTTCTCCGTTAAAGTTAAATTTGCTGATCTTGGCCTTGGCGAGTATGGCCTTGAACCGAATGTAGAGGAACGTTCGACAGTAGTTCGTAATTTAGTTCTTTTAGATTTCTCGAATGTCTTCTTTCTCTCTGGCTTGTTATTTCCATATTTTCTATTGAACGATACCGAGGGATTACCGTTGATCCATGGAAGAAGTTTCCTCGTTGTTTTACGATCTCTCGAAGATGGAACCGAGGAATCACGTGAATAATTTGACATAACGTCACGGTTACTATCCAACTCGCTTGAACTCGCTGTACTGACGTTTATAATGGAGTCCCTATCGGCTTTAACGATCGACGTTGCCAACTTTCTACGTACAGGTTTGACAATATCATTGCTCGTTTTAGATCCACTGTATTTCCTTGTTTGTACTTGATCGACGTTCGAACTTCTCCGTAGTTTTCTTCGAATCGAGTTTGAATCAACCAGACCACCGGCTCCAATGTGTCTCCCTTTCCTCAACCATTCGGAATCCTTTCTCGAGTCAATCGATCCATACGTTGATTCCTTCGGTTCCGCTTTGTTGCTCGCCATTCTCGAATCCTTTTTATCGTTCGATTGGTTAGAAAAATTTTTATTCTTCGATTTGATATTATTTCGTTTACATTCTACGTAACTATTATCAACGATCTCCTTATCCCGATCGGTCTCTTTCGAATAATAAAGATTCATCGTATCCGTACCTATTTCATTGGTCTCTCGTTTGCGTATACCCTTAACAAGAAAATGATCCAAAGGATGTAAAAACTCTACCTCTTTCTTGCTCATACCAGAGGTCGCGTCGTAATATTCCTCAATGAAATCGAAAAAACTATGATCATAATTGTCGTTCAATCTTATACCGAGCATAGAATCCGACGTATTTAAATGTATGGAATTGAATATAACGTCGCCCGGTGGCTGATGATTTTTATAACGTTTCTTAAGGCTCGCCTCGATGAGTTTATGACGGTACGCATTGTAATTGAAAGTTGATATATCGATAATAGGTAATTCGGAATTTGTTACAACGAACGAGGATGATCTTTCAACCGGCACATCCTTTATTTCGTTATTTCTTTTAATT